CTTGTTAAGTCATTAAATTGCCCAGGCTGGGCACAAACTTGTTATCTCCCTGCCTCAGCCTCCCAGAGGGCTGGGATTATTGGTTTGCTACACCACGTCCCACTATTCTCTTCTTTCTTAGCCCACCCTTGAGCTGCCTCTTTTTCTATCCCGGGTGGAAGGAAATTAAGATATTGCTTATCATACTCAATAAAATCTATGCTTACAGGGAAATGATGCTTTTACTGGCCCTCCCAGCCACCAGCTCCACCTTCCACACACCTGGTCCTTCACTCCATCCACAGCCTACTCCCCACATGCACATTTTGTGGACCCTTCTACACCCTCTGGGACTCCTGTTTCTGCCAGGCTCTTCTACCTGTCCAGCAATACCCTGCATTGTTTTATGTCACTACTTCAAACTTGCCTTTTGCTCTGTGGAATCCGAGCAGACCTCCTTCAGGGAACCCCAAGGCCAGGCACTCCATGGTACTCCCCGCTTCCCAGCCTCACTTTGCCCAGTTCTCTAGCCACTCTGGCCTTCACTCAACCCCTCTACCACAGCGCCTTTGCTCATGCCATTCATGTTGTCTGGATCGACTGTTCCCTCTTGTCCTGGTTAATTCCTATTTAGCCATCAAATCCTCCTTAGAGAGGCCACTCTGGCCTCCTTGGCCTTAGGGGTAGCCTAAGCTCTATTAGCTCTTTCAGCACCATAAGCACTTCTGAAAGGCCCAACTGCACAGGTCTCTGTTGGACAGTGTGAGGATAACTTGAGGCATGGAGTTCAGGCCCTATAAGGGTGGGAGCTCAGTGATTTCTTCTACCAGCACTTGATAGGAAGCCTGGCATACAGTAGGAAGACAGTGTACTCCCCGGTCCAACTCTGTGCAGCCTCTGCTGTACCCAGTCCTGCCTGACACCAGTCCCCACAGAACCAGCTGCCCCTTCTTGGGGCCTTTCTCCCGTCACAGTGGACATGCAGGGCACCCAAACCCGGGTGGCCTCAGCATCAAATGTACAATTCACACAGGCACCTGTGTAAGAGGGAGACGCTGCCATCCCGTGCCTGGCCAACAGAGGCTAGCATCTCTTGGGGGGAGTCCCAGGGTCTGCCTCACACATCAAGGGTGCTCTAAGTGCAGTGCTCTGGTATCAAAGGCCAGCCTGGGCCTTGGTGGCAGCCAACCGGAACTGCCCCAGGCAATGACCAACAGCTACCTCGTCGGGCCTGGTAGGTGACCAAGGGCACCAGCGGGAGCAGAGAGATAGGGGAATGGTGGCCCCCAAGGGCGACCTCCAGTGTGCTCCCAGTCCCCCTCTGCACAAGAGACTGCCAAACAGAGACAGCATCACAGTGCCCTGCACGGGCACACACTGGCCAGTCACCCGGTACCTTAGTCCCCTCTGTCCCTGCGGCGCCTGCAGCCCCTTCCTACCTTTGCAACAGAAAATCTTGCAGTCCACATGGCCTAATCCCTTCTCCAAACAAAGGGAGGCCCTGAAGCCCGGCCCACCATGGTCTCTTCCTGTTTGCTCTGGCTGAAGGCCATGGCCTAGCCAGCCAGGATCGTGCTGCTGGGAAAGGGCTCTGGCCTCCACGCTGGCGCAAGGCAGGCTTCTCATGCCCGCCCTCACAGCAGGCGTCCCATCTGAGCGGCTGGGGCCCAGAGGGACAGGCTCTGCAGCCCCTCTCAGGAACACGACAAGGGGCTCCTAGCTCTGCCCTGGCCTCCTCCATGCCCGGACAGGCAGAGGTAGCCATGCTTGGGGCCTGTCACCCAACCTGGCCAGCATTCTCATAACAGGGGCCTCCTTCCAGGTGTGAGTGTGACTCCCACTCAAATCAGGTCCCTGACTCCTCCCAGTCTTTGGAATGAGACCTCAACTCTGGCTTGAGCCTCAAGACCTTCTAAGAACTGGGTTCTCTGACCTCTCTTTCCACTTCAAGGGGTGGCTCCAGCTGGGAGTGTTTCCCCAAGATCCTCTGACATTCTTTTGTGCCTCTGATCCCTTTTTCCCTCTGCCAGGAATGCCTTTCCTTTCTCTCCTGTCAAACTCCTACTCATCCTTCAAAACCCAGCTTGAACATCACTGGTCTGTCTCTTATGGCAGCCCCTCCCCCATCTCTGCATTCAAAAGCCTGCGACCAGATGGAGGCACGTGAAGGGAGCGCTCTGCAACTCTGTACTCCCCCAGCATGTCTAGCGTAGGACAGGAGCTCAGTAAGTGTTGGTGAAATAAAGGACAACATCTGTAACCTTTCCCACAGCCTCCAGGTCTGATGTAATCCAGCCCACAGCCCTATCCACAGCATCCCTTGTTCTTAACCTCACTGCTCTCTTTTGGTTATGCTACCCAGGTGGCCCTCCTAGTGCCCCTCCTAATGACACCCCTCTGGGGTGTCACCCTCCAAAGCAGCCCATCACCTCAAAACCTCAGGGGCCAGCCTACACCTGGGGTTTTGGGGACATTAGCAGGAAAAGATGGAGGTCATAGGTGGATCCACGGCAGACAGCACCCCATGCAGCACGCCCTGGGTCCACAGCAGCACAGAGCACCATGCAACCCCCATCTGTTATGCCCATTTTTCTTTAAACCCATTCGCTTTGCTACTTCACTTCCTTTCAACTATCGGTTTAAGAGCTGTTCATCCAGGTGCCCCTACAATCATCTTGGATGACTGTACCCCTTTTGGGAGCCACAGCTCCTTGCTATCTGATTTGGGGGCACCACCTCTGCAAGTAAGAGAAATGCTCACCTTCCCTCCTCTTATGTGCTGCTGGGTAGAAGCTGTGACCCCAGTCTGAGCCACCAGAGCCACCTGTCCCTGGCCTGTGGATTTCACTCCAAAAAACCAAAGTTCTTGTCAGCAACAACAAAATTAAAGTTGACAACAATTGTGCTATAGAGCACACCTAAGCATGGTGGTGTTACCCAGAAGCACCAGGCGTGGGGCAAACATGCTTCCATCCAAGTAGGAAGACACCAGGGGGTGGGAGGGCTCCTGGCTCATTTAAGGTCCCCTCATGTGGTGGGGGTCTGGGGACAACCCGAGGTGAGTAGGGCAGGGATGAGGCTTTGCGCAGGGCACCCCCAGCCCTGGTTTCAGCCTCAGCTGCAGCTGTTCGGGCTGGGCCTGGGCCAGACCCCAGGGTGCTTCCTCTGGGAGCTCCGGATACTGTCCCTTTGTGAGAACTGTGCTGGCCCCATGGGAAGCCAGCTCTGTAGCCCAATTTGGGGGCCTTGGAAAGGGGGAGCAGAGTGGCCCTTGTGGGCTGCAAGAAGGACCCAGGCCATAGAGGTGCCACACTGGCTGCAGACCCCAGTGGTCGTGCCCATGGGTGGGGCTGAGCATCTGCTGTGTGTCCTACCAGGATGCTCAGTCTCAGCAGCCGGAGAAGGAAGTAGAGGCACAGAGGTTAAGTGACTTGCCCAAGGTTGCAGTGAGTTAGCAGCAGTTCTACAGACCTAACAGCACATGCCTCCTAAGCACCCTCCGGCACAGCCCCCATGTTTTCTACAGTAGCAGAGCCTGAGCGCCACAGAGCACAGCTGGAGACAGTTAAGACTGTGACCAGGAGCGGGGGCAGTTCTGGGAAGTGGACTTCTTGTCCGAAGGCATCACTGGGGCTATCCCTGACCCTGGCCTGTGGTGCTCACAGAGCCCTGGGCTCTGCTGACAGCCCCTGCCCACACCAGCCATGAGGATCAGGACAGCATCCATCCCCTCATCTGCATCCCTACCTGAGCCAAGAGTGGGGCAGGCCCATTCCTGTGGGGCCTGCCATCTCCCCCACCACACAGAGACCTGGGAGAAGAGGCCCTGGGGGCTTGGGTGGATGGATGCAGAATGGTACTCAGGCCTGGGCTTGCAGATTCCAGGTGGAGAGGGCAGCCTCACCCAGAAGGCTCTGCCCAACCCTTCACCCCCTGCCTCAACAGGGGTACAGCTGCTGCCAGCCTACTGCCCATGCCGGTGAATCCCATACCCTGGGGGTGGTTCACACTCAAGTTCAGCCTGGGCTCCATCCGGAGGTGGCCTGGTAGGATGAGGCCCAGACTGGGCCAGGACCCCTGGAAAAGAGGGAGCCACTAACCCCAGGTGGTGGTGCTCCTCCTCCTGCGCTTGCCTCCCTCCTCCAACGCCACACCCTAAGGGGCCTAAGGCCTGGTGCAGGCCATCCTCTTTTTCTTTTTCTTTCTTTCTTTTTTTTTTTTTTTGCAGTACTAATGGAACTCCGACCTTGCGCTTGCCAGGAAGGCAACTATACCGCTGAGCTATCTCCCCGGCTCCAGGGCACTCTTTTGAAAAGGACGTTAGGGGTGGTCCAGGTCTGTAGGAGCTGAGGACACTGTGGTCATTGGCCCTTAAGTCTGTCATCCTATCGGAGTCTTGACTACCCAGCCGCATGACCTTGTCTGTGTGGTCTGGAGCTGGGGGTGGCCATTCATGTCACAAATCCCCAGGACACAGCCCACCAGGCGCTCCCTGCTAGCTGCAGGGCCAGGGTTTCGGAGGTGTCCCTGTTTAGCGGAACCAAGCTGCGTCGCTGCTTCCTGCCAGGGCGCAGCTGGTGCCACCGTCCCTAAAACCCAGTTCTGTCCACCAGCGTGTACAGCGTGGGAGGCTGCGACTCCCGCCAGCAGAACCGGCCTCCCCTTCTCTCCGCGGGGCCTGCAACCCAGGCACTGCTGCCCGTCGGGGGCCGGGCAAGAACCCTAGAACCGCAGGTTCCGGGCTCCGGCCGGTCCCTGCCCCGCAGTCCCTCCGTCCCATCCTGTAGACCACACAGGCCCCCGTGGTGGGGGCTCCTCCGAGCCGTCGAGGCCGCGGGGTCCCCTCAGTCACGCGATCGCGGGGAGAGCTTGGCCAAAAGAATCCGCCACTTCCCGCCCTCAGTTTACCTATCCGAGTCCGGGTCGGCCGTAGGTGCCCGGTTGTGCGCGCTCGGCTTCGTTGTCCTCGCTCCCTGGGTTGCGCCCCAACCGCCCGCCGACCCCACTCGCCTGCGCTCGAGATGGGTCCCGGGCCGCGCTCAGGACCAGCAGCGCGGGCTCCGCCTCCCGCGCCCTTTTAAAGGGAAGAAACCCGACCCCACCGCCGCCCCCAGCGCCCGCCTGCCGCCTCCGGGCGGGGCCCGCGGCGGTGCCGACGTCCCGGACTTGGGCCGTGATCGCTGGGGGTCCCGACCTCCTGCTCTCCTCTGAGTGGGACCTCTGCAGACCCAGGTCCAGCGCCCCGCCCCTTACATCTGGACGGCAGCTGCCGCTGGGGGAGGGGCACAGGGCCTCGCTCCCCCAGAAACGCAAAGCGTGCGTCCCGCGAGGTGGCTTCCAGAATTCTGACTCTCACTAGATTGGCGTTTATCTGGGAGCTCCCGGTGAAAGAAGTGAGGGTGGCCCCAGGATCTAGCCAGAAAAGGCGAGAGTTAGGATGTTGCCCCGCACTCTAATTGTGCTCTCAGCACCCCCCTTGCACCTTTATATTGGTGCGAACAAATGTCAGTCCCAGTACTTGCTTGCAGAACCAGGTGACATTTGTATTTCTTATGACTGCTGTAACAAATGAATACAAATACAAAACGGCGCTGCTCAGTTTTGTAAGTCAGAGTTCCAAGCAGGTCTCTCCACACTTCGATCAAAGGTGTTCGTAGGGTGTTTAGTTTACCTTCGGGTGCTCTAGGGGAGCCAGGTGGCTCTGCCCGCCCAGCTTCTAAGGCTCTCGCATTCCATGGCTGGTGTCCCCTTCTGCCTTCCAAGTCAGGAATGGCCTGTCTGGCCTCCCTCCCATCGCGTGACTGCTGACCCTGTCGGGCACACGTGCGACTCTTCCTATTACAGCTTCCTATTACAGCTTCCTATTACAGCCTTCCTATTACAAATCCACTGATTAGCAATGGCACTTGCATCTGTTTCCCCTCTGACCTGAGGCACAGCATATTCACAGATTATTCTGGGGATGAAGATGAGAACATCTTTAGAGAGACTTATACCTGCCACAATATTCAAGGCGACTTCTGGATCCTAGGTTTAGAAGCAAGTAATGGGACTGTCCAACCTAATCAGGTCCTCCTGGCCTGTTCCTGGGACCTCTTGGATGGTTTAGGCGCGGCCCAATTTGGGTCCAGGTTACTTACTTCTCCCTCCCACTTCTCCCTCACTCTTTTTTTCCCCAACATGAAGTTGAAGCTGGCCTGGCATCACTATGTATCCCAGGCTAGCCTCCAATTCCTGAGGCAGGAGGATCCCTGTGAATTCAGAGCCAGCCTATGTTACAATGTGAGTTCAAAGCCAACCTGAACTGCATAGTGGAACTTCTCTCAAATAAAAAAAAAAAACAAAAAACAGACAGGGGCCAGGGAGATGGCTCAGTAGAATAAGCACTTCCCTGGCAAGTGCAAGGGTCTGAATTCAATCCCTGGTTCCTCCAAAAAAAAAAAAAAAAAAAAAAAAAAAAGACACACACACACACACACACACACACACACACAAATAGACTAAGTGTTTGACATTAGGGAATTAGTTAAATAAATTATAGTTCACTCATATGATGAAATAGTATACCACCAATAAAAATATTTTATGTTTTGGCAGCCATGGTGGTGCTTAGCTATAATACCAGCACTCACACAGGGAAAGAAAACATTCTCTCAGGCTTTCACAGAGAGCACATTGGCCATGCAATGGCCGTGACTCATCCACATGGCTGACACTGACAAAGGATCTACAATCTGAGGTACAGGGTCTTAGGATAAACCCTGAGGGGATTTGACTGATCTTATCTGATCCAAAAGCTACAATTCTTGTTGCAGAGGTCCTGCTTTATCTTGGTCTTAACCATCCAGCAGAAAAGTATAAAAATGAAATATAAGAAGTAAAGCCTGGGGCTGGGGAGATGGCTCAGTGGATAAAGCGCTTCCCTGGCAAGTGCAAGGGCCTGAGTTCAATCCCTGGTTCTGCCAAAAAAAAAAAAAAAAAAAAAAGAAGTAAAGCCGCTCCTCCTGTGAGCGGCCTTAGGTGACCTGTGAAAATGGTTTGCTACTCTCTTGACCCAGAAAACCCCACAAAATCATGCAAATCAAGAGGCTCAAATCTTCGCGTTCACTTTAAGAACACAAGTGAAACTGCCCAGGCCATCAAGGGTATGCACATCCGAAAGGCCACCAAGTATTTCAAGGATGTCATATTAAAGAAGCAATGTCTACCATTCTGGCATTACAGTGGTGGAGTTGGTAGGTGTGCTCAGGCCAAACAGTGGGGCTGGACACAGGGTCGGTGGCCCAAAAAGAGTGCTGAATTTTTGATGCACATGCTTAAAAATGCAGAGAGTAACACTGAACTTCAGGGTTTAGATGTAGATTCTCTGGTTATTGAACATATCCAGGTGAACAAAGCACCCAAGATGTGCCGCTGTACTTATAGAGCTCATGACCGGATTAATCCATCCATGAGCTCCCCCTGCCATATTGAGATGGTCCTTACTGAAAAGGAGCAAATTGTTCCCAAACCAGAAGAGGAAGTTGCACAGAAGAAAAAGATATCCCAAAAGAAACTGAAGAAACAAAAACTTACAGCACGGGAATAAATTAAGCATAAAATAAATGCAAATAAAATTAATGTTGTCTGTTAGAAAAAAAAAAGAAGTAAAGCCATGGTGTTATGTTGAGCTGTAGGGGACTCAGGTCAACAATTTCTGACATGGCCAGTCAAGCGGAAGACCCAATACTATTAAGGGCTACTGGACTCTTTTAGAATATTTTGCTGAGTTTACACACCTATAATATTCAAATAACGGAATTTAACAAAAAAAGGGGATACAGATGAATGTCCATTTTGTATCTGTGTATTCAAAGTGGTTAGGATAGATATATAGTTACATTCTCTTAATGAATAGAGGGATTTGTTCTAATGGTGTTTGTAAATAGGATATCATGTCCGCATCTTGTACAGCAATTAACCACTAGGAAGAATGTATGTAATGTGTTCATTATTGAAACTGTCCTACCAATTTGGTTTGAAACTGTCTCAGTGCTATTTGTTTCTCAATAAAATTATGGAGAGAAAAACTAAAAAATAAAATTTACTAAGCACTTTAATGTAAATGAAAAAAAAAAAAAACCAACCAGCACTCAGTAGGCTGAGGCGGGAGGATTGAAGCAACTTCGAGGCCAGCCTGGGCTACATACCTACACTCTGCCTCAGAAAGGCAGAGAAGCTGGGCGTGGTGGCACATGCTTGTAATCCCAGTCAGTGCTCAGGAGGTAGAGGCAGGAGGATAGTTGTGAGCTGAAAACCAGCCTGGGCTACAAAGTGAGCTTAGGTCCAGTCTGAACTGCATAACAAGACCTTATCTCACAAAGACAAAAAAAAAAAAAAAATGTTTTGGCTTGGGAGCAGCTCAGTGATAGCGCATTTTCTTAGTATGTAGTAGGCCCTGGAATCTATCTATCTATCTGAAAAGTAGGGGAAATTTTTCAGTAATACTAGGGGAAATTTTTTTTTAAATTAGGAACAGGAAGACTCAAGTATTATAGAAAATCTGAAGCCTTAAAAGAAAAGATGAAAAAAAAAAAAAAAAAGAAAAGATGAAGGGCTGGGGAGATAGCTCAGTGGTCTAAGTGCCTGCCTGGCAAGTGCAAGAACTGAGTTCAATCTCTGGTACAGCATGCTATGCGGGCCCTGGAGCCCCCAGCGTGCTGTGCTAGCCACTGAAACCAGACATGGTGCACACGCCTGTAATCCCAGTGCTGGGAAGGCTGAGACAGGAGGAACACTATGAGTCTGAGCTGCATAGCAAGACCCTGCCCCAAATAAATAAGGGTTTTTTTTTTGTTTGTTTTTTTTGTTTGTTTGTTTGTTTTGTTTTGTTTTGTTTTTTTGCTCCTCGAATGTCTTCAGGGCACTTTTGGGTAGCTGGAGTGTCGTGGGGATTGAACTACAGCAATCTGAGGCTGACAGGTGTGTGGAAGCAGCCACTTAAAGAACTGAGCTAGGGCCAGGGCCCCTGCCCCAAATAAATAAATAAAAGGTTAAAGAGAAAAGAAAAGAAAGCACCAATAAACTTGTTTCCATAAAAAATTAAAATATCTAGCTGGGCATGGTGGCCCATGCCCATAATCCCAACTGCTGTGGAGAATGGGGCATGTGACTCATAAATTCATGGCCAGTCTAGAGAAAAACAAAGCAAAAATAAATAAATAAATAAATAAAAATCAATGTAAAACCACCATAACCAAAGTCAAAAGAAAAAACTTTAAACTGGGGCAAAAGTACAACTTCTAATGGACACAAAGAGCTGATCTCCCTAATATACAGTTTCTAGAGATCATTAACAAATGAGCTAGCAATGACCTGAATGGGGGACAAAAAGGGCAAAGGATATGAAGACATAGTTAATGGAGAAACAATAGCTCCTAATATAGTAGAGAAAAATTGCAGCTACAAAAGATGTGACTCTTCACTTATCAGATCACAAAGATGAAAAACAGTTTGGTCACCCACCACTTACTTGGAGATAAACACAGTCCTCCTGCTTCGGTGGCTGGTGTGTCAGTGACTAAACCTCAACCATAAACACAGTTCCCCTTCGACTCAGCAGTTCTAGAAACAGCCCCGCATTCTTGCATAAGTGCATCAAGGAGCACAGCCAGTGGAAATGACTCTGTTTGCATCAGGAAGACAAACGAGCAATTACTGTTGCCTGGCCAATGCCATACATTTAGTCACTGAAAAGGATGAAGATGCTCTTTATGGAACAATGTCCAGGATATGTCAAGTTGTAACAGTGGGCCCCACAGAGAGTTTATTAACTGTATTTGAAAGGGGCAGGGGTACAACATTTGCTTTTATACTTACAATGACTAATGCAGGCCGTGCTGCACACCTGTAAGGCCAGCACTGGGGAGGTTGAGTTAGGAGGATATTTGTGAATTTGAAGCCAGCCTGGGCTGCAAAGTGAGTTCAAAGCCAGCTTTAACTGCATAGTAAGACCCCGTCAAGACAAGAAAAAAAAAAAAAAAAAAAAAAAAAAAAAAAAAAAAGACTAATAGTACACGAGAAACTGATAGCAGGCATTATTTTTCTGGGAAAGCAAAACAGGAGAGGAAGTCATTATTGTTCTTTTGCATATTGGATCATGTGAAGATGCTATTTAAAATGTAAATAAAATAAAATGTGAAAGTAAATAAAACCATTTCCCTCTTGGTAG